TGGTGGTGCAAAGAGCAGAGAGTAAAGGGAAGTAAGCAGCATCTTAAGCAACTAGCTAGCCTCTCATCCCTCCTTAAGTTGATGCATTGTAATGCAAATTACATGCCCCAGGGCAGGTGCAGCAACCACACCCACAATAATCAATCCTAAGAGTTTGCACTGGGGAGGCTGAAAACAAGAGGATCACTAGGAGCTCAAGCTGCAGAGTGAGACCTGTACCCAATTCATAAATGGAAAAAATAATAATAATCACAAACTCCAATAGCCTCCCATGACTGCATGAGACTTTGGGGGGACAGCTAGACACAAACCATAAAACCCATCATCTTGTGAAATTCTGTATCATTTTTGTTTAAATTTTTTTTTAAAGAGATCTTTGGTTGGGACCTCCTCCACCCCCAACTCTGGCTGTTGACCCAGCGGAGGGTTTTCTAGAGAAGTAAATCAAAACAGAATGAAGGGGCTGGCTAGATGGCTCAGTGGTCTGAAGCACCTACTTGGAACAAGGCTTGGCAAAGCACAGGGACCACGGTTCGATCCCCCAGCACCACATGCCAGCCAGCCCCGCCCCCTGGTGGGCTGAGCTGGCCACACACACACACACACACACACACACACAAAATAAATAAATGTTTAAAAAAAATTAAAGTGAAAGGATCAATATTTAAAAAATAAATAAATAAATAAATAATTTAAAAAAAAAAAAAAACAGAATGAAGTAATTGAATTGGCTTACCTATGATGTCTAAGGTTATCCAGGGTTTCTCAGGAGAGATTGTGATATCTGTGGACAGGGCCACTGCAGATTTTTCTGGACCTTTTTAGTCATCAGAGCAAGAAATGAGGGTACTTAGTTTATACCTCAAATAAGAGAATGACCCTGTTCTGCGACCCCTGCTTATCTCAGGGTGTCTTGGTCTCACTAATATATTTCAGGGGGATAATCACACTAGGCGCTCTCCTTGAACTCCTCATAATTCCCAGACCAATAAATAAGGTCCATTCCAAGGGACTCCATTAGAGCCTAGTGCCCAGAGGAACCCAGCATTCTTCAGCTCCTTCAGCAGCCTCAGCAGGCAGTCCTAGGTCCCACTGGGTACACACAGACAGATTTAAGCCTTGTGGGTCAAACCCAAAGTGGTGCTTCCTACTACTCTAATTCACAACTTACCCTATCAAGTAGCATAATGTTCTCTCATCCTAATTCCATTTCTTTTCCTGTATTTCTCTTTTGTAGAGAATTGTATTCTTACACATCTTGAATCCCTATCATCGAGATCTTTCATCTGTAATCAGTTATAATCTTGTTTTATACTTAAGGAGCAAGACTATTCATTTTTCTCCTTTAATATCTCTCACATATATTTACCTCTCTGCTCTCATTTTATCAGTTTAGACCAGTAGTCAGCAGATTTTTCTGTATTTAAAAAACCAGGTAATAAATACTTAAGACTTTGGTGGTCATATAATCTCTATCACTGCCACTGTTGATGGAAAACATCCATAGACCATATATAAATGAACTGCTATGTTTTCCAATAAACTGTTTATATAGACACTGAAATTTGAGTTTCAAATAATTCACATATCACAAAATCTTTCTTTTCATTTTTTTTACATTTAAAAGATGTTAACAAGTCATGTTTAGGCTGTCATACCTATAAAAATAGGTTCATACGCTGCAAAGTCCTTATAAGTTAACCTTAGGATGTATCCTGTGGCCAGCATTCTTTGGCAAGACCCTTTCTTTGGACTTGACTTACTTTCTAGTCTTATATCTTACCATTCTCCCTTAATTTTCTGTTCCAGCTTTGTGGTACTGCTTATAGTACCTAGAATGTTTATTGTTTTTCACGTCTAAGTTTTGACACATGCCTTTGAATATCTTTCCTCCTCACTTTTTCCTGTTTCCACCTAGCTAACCACTGCTTTTTCTGCAAGAGTCATTTTTGCCATTGTCATCTCTAGAAGTCTCACTTTCTCAAGACTGGGTTGAAGTACTTTCTCTACTAAGCTCTCCCATCATGTCTGTAGAACCCCATTGTGTCTGTAGAACCCAGTGATATCATTTGTTTTTACAGTTGCTTATTTACTTGACTGCCTCGTCTAATTAGCAAACTGCTTAAATATGTAATGTTTATCCACTATTTTATCCTCATTTTCGTGTGTCGCCATATATATACATTTAGTATCTTTATGTTTTTGGAGTGGTTTTTTGCCTTCCAGGAAATTTAAGCCAGGTGCCTTGCCACACACCTGAAATCCCAGCACTTCTGCAGTCTGAGGCAGAAGGATCACAAGTTAGAGCCCAGTGTGGGCAATTTAGGGGCTTAGTGAGACATTGTCTCAAAATTAAAATTTAAAAGGACTGGAAATGTAGTTCAGTGTGAAGGTCCAAGAGTTCAAACCCTTGTACCCCCTCAAAAAAAAAAAAGATCATGTACCATAAAACTTGCCCTTTAAAAATGTTATTTTTGGAAAATTAAGTGTTGTGCGGGCCACTGCTAATTCCAGAACATCTATCCCCCTAAAAAACAGTACCAGACCATTAAGAAGTCACTTCTTTGCTGGGCATGGCAGTACGCGCTTGTTATGGCAGCACTCAAGAAGCTGAGGCAGGAAGATTGCAGTTTGAGGCTACCATGGACTATAAAGAAAGTTCAAGTCCCCCTTAAATTACATGGCAAGACCAAAAAAATTTTTTAAGGCTTTTTTTTTGTTGTTGTTCCTCGAATGCCTTCAGGGCACTTTTGGCCAGCTGGTGAGGTGTGAGGTTCGAACTCCAGCAACCTGAGGCTGACAGCTTTGTGGAAGCAGCCACTTAAAGGCCTGAGCTAGGGCCAGGCCCCCCAAAAAAATTTTTTAAAAGCCACTACTCATGTAGCCTAGTGGTAGAGGTTTGATGCTCAGCATTCAAAAGAAAATCATCATTCTCTTTCCCCCAGGATCTGGCAACCATTCATCTACTTTCGATCTTCATGGGTTTGCCTATTAATCTATAGAATCATTCAATATTTGCCATTGTTTGATTTCTTTCTATATCCATATTGTTTTCAGAGCACATCCATGTTGTACCATGCATGCACTGGTATAGTACTTTGTTCCTTTTTATGACCACATATTAGCATTATATTTTAAACTTCATTCTTAAAATCCCCCAGGGAAAAAGAAATTAGGACTCCTAGACCTCTGCTACTTCAATCAGAATGGTTCTGCTTTCATTTGTAAATTGTTTATGAAAATGCATTTTCATTTGAAATTTGAGCTGGGCATGGTAGTGCATTCCTGTAATTCCAGCACGTGGGAAGCTGAGGCAGGAGGACCGCAGCAAGTTTGAGGCTAACTTGGGCTACATATTGAGTTCAGGGTCAGGGCCAACCTAAACTGCAAAGCAAGACCCTGTCTCAAAAAAAAAAAAAGAAAAAAAGAGTCTTTGGCTGATTGAATAGATCAGGTTCTCTATGATCTTCCCCTCCCCATCCTTTCCTACAATTCTTTGCCTTTTGTGCTTTAGATAGATCACACTTTACTTCATATCTGCCTCATGCTGTCTTTTTTGTGCATCTTTCAGATAGACTCATTTCTATAAAATTTCCCTCAGCTCTGAATTTGGGTAGTAATTAATTATACTGTGTTAGGTGCTCTCTTAGCTACTAATTCCTTCAGACTATGCTTTTTTCTTTTCTTTCCCTTTTGCCTTTGCCTACTGGCAATGAACCCCAGCCTTCACATGTGCCAGGCCAACACTATACCACTAAGCCATATCCTCACCCCTTTTTATTCTTTTAAAGAGAAAGTATCACTAAGCTGTCTAGGCTGCCTCAAACTTGGGAACCGCCTGCCTCTGCCTTCCAATTAGCTGGAATTGCAGGGGTATATCCACCACACCCAGCAAAATTGCTCTTCTACTTGTTAAATTGTTTTATGCTCCTTCTCCAATGGCACTGGATGGTGGGACAAGGGGATATGTGACTATAAAAGACAGTATAAGGAAAATCTCTGATGATCAAAAGGTTTTTATGTCTTGATTGTAACTGTACTTAACACAAATCTACACATATGACAAAATGGTATAGAACTATACATACACATAGTATTTCAGATTCAGATATAGTAATATAGCATAATAATGTAAGATGTACCATTAGGGAAAAACTGTAAAGGATACATGGGTACTCTCTATGCCATCTTTGTAAGTTTCTGTGAATCTATATTTCAAAGTCAAAAACTTAAAAGTATATTTTAAAATTGGGATTAGTGTTTATCAGAGTCATTTTGCCATTCATATTATATTTGCCATTAATAAATCTGAATGTGTCTTTCAACACAGAGTTACTTGTGGGAGATAAGAACACATTGATAGTTATATTTTAGTTACCTACTGCAGTGAAGTGGAGTTTGTCTAACACAAGAACAGAAGACACAGAGGTTCTTTGTATACAAGGTCTTGGCTTATCTAAGACCCTTTTTAATTTTTAGGTTAAATGGTAAGCGTTAGTTTCAGCCTCGGTTTGGTACACTTTTCAGTTCTTGTTGTTCTTTATATAGTATCTGACAAGTATTTGACATCTAGAAAGCAGTGACCACGGTACTAAATCCTGAGTGAGAAGGTAACACTTGATACTGTGTTATCCTAGGGGAGCGTGATAACCATTAATTACTTTTGGCATTGATTGAAACAATTTTTTTTGCTTAATATAGAATTAGTGAGAGGTCTTCTTGTGAGAGTTTAAAAAAAAATTATATGATGTTCAACTCAAACTTTTTTTTTAATTCAAACTTAACACTGTCAAGTTAAATGAATAGTCTCAAGCAAGTTTAAAATAAACATTGCAAAATTAGAATACACCTCTAATTCTTTTTGAGAAGAAGTAAGGTATAATCAGTTTTGTTTGAATTTTTGATCAAGCTAAAATAAATATGAACAACAAAATTACATATTTAATAAAATATGAGCAAAATGACATATTTAATAAAATGAAAACTTAAATGTTTTTCAGGTTAAACTGCAGAACAACATATCATATCAGATGGCAGACATACATCATTTAAAGGGTAAGAAACGTAATCATATTAAAGATAATAATCACTGTATGTCTAAGCTATTTAAAACTTAAGAAATAGTTCAACGCCTAAATGAAATATAATTTTCTAAACAAGGCTTGGTGGTGAAACATTTGTTCTTTTGTTTGAAGATATAAAGATTTATGTAATATTACTTTATAAATGGTGCGAGTCAAAATTTAAGGTCTGCATTTTAATCTTGTGTTAGACAAGGTTAAACAATGAAATGTTGGGGCCAGGGAGATGGCTCAGTGCAATAAGCACTTCCCTGGCAAGTGCAAGGGCCTGAGTTCAATCCCCGGTTCCGCCAAAAAAAACAAAACAAAAAAAAAAACAATGAAATGTTCATAAGAGAATCCTCAAAGAAAATTGAACTGTAGCATCAGAGCCCATCTACTTTCTAGATAAATGTGGGAAACAATTTCTACTAAACAATTTCTTGATAAGTTGACTATAAAATCCAGTTCACTATAAAATCTCTTGATAAATTGACTATTTTTAAATTAATACTAGAATAGACACTAAAACCCTTTGGAAACTTTATGATGATTAAGATTTTCTTTACAGTAAAAGGAACGAGTTGTTTTGTTTTGTTTTGTTTTTGGTAAAATCCCTATTATAAAGTTTTCTGATATGTACAAACTTATTTTAATTAGCTCATTTTCTTTGTATACCTATTAAAAAAAGAAAATTTAAAGCTAAAACTTTGTAGAAGTAAATACATGGTTTTTGTTTT